CGTTTTAATTTAATTTATACATACGCAATGAATGTAAGCCTGCTAACTGTGTGTGGTTCAAATGATAGAATATGTAAACTTTGTTTATATATATAATTAAATAATAATAATTAAAAGCCTGCGTGTAAGGCTTTTATTTAGAGGACGACGTCACGAGCGCAGATTTGGTTAACCAGTTAGAGGAAAGTGGGCGTTTCAGCACCGCCTACATGTGTAAAATGAATTTTAAAGTCGTTTATCCGTTTTCCTACCCTAAACCAAAGAACGAAAATCCAGCCAAAATCTCGTTTTTTCGTTTTCTCGTGAGCAAAAGGAAAAACGGAAAAACGGCCGTTTTCTCCATTTCCTTTATTCCGTTTGAAAATGGAAAACAAATGAACAAAACGTACACGGACCATTTTTTGACTCATTATTTCGTTTTGGTTTTGTGTTTGTTTTAATATTTCGTTTTAAGTTAATAAGCAGAATAACAGATGAGTTTCCGTTTTTTCTGCCTACAGAATAAACAGAAAAACGAAATATTCATCGTTTTTCTGATGTTTCGTTTTCCGTAATAAAAGGAATAATCAAATGAACGGATGATACACGGACCGTCCTCACGTTACCACGATGTTTCTCTGCAGTTGAATTGTCAATGGCGCGGCATTAAAAAAATATATTTATTATTAAACATTGTGAGATGATGGTCGCGTGATTTTTTTTAAAAATGAGAGTATGCGTTGCGTATTTATGGCCATTGATCTATCCGCGACCCACCAATAGTTAAACATGAAGGTGCGTGTATAAATTAGTTATGTTTCCAGACACTGCCACCTTTGTCAGGCAAAGTTTGCAGATTGCCTCATTAACGTCGTCAGGTGCTCTTATGCATTTGGTTTGAACCCAAAATTTTGCCAAACATGCGCTTTTGCAATGCGTTTTGACAATAAATCGTCCGCCATCCTCTTTCTGTAAATTCGACTCCTCTTTTCTCCTCACGTGGTAAATGAAATATGACGCACTGTAGCTATGTTTAGATTTTAATTATAGAGCATGCTCTCGTTTTAAGTCAATTATTTATAATTATATTTTCCATTTATTTTAAATAAATTTTTAATAAAAAAAAATTAAAAAACGAATACCTAAAAAAAACAAATGTGGGGACGGTGTCACGGTAGAAAAGTGATGTCACCGGTGTTGCGTCTTAACACCGGTATCACCGTCAACACCGTCTATCGTGGCAAGCCTAGCTGCGGGGAAAAAAAATCAGGTTCACGGATATTGATCTGTCATTTCTCTAGATTCACAGAATTCACTCACTGCTGAAAGCGCCGGATTGGTTTTTATTAAGTGCCATTTTGTGTGCTCGTGAATCATCTTTTGAGTGTAGACGCCATGTAAATAAAAGATTAATTGTGTAATTTAGAGAGCTTTATAAATTATAACGGATCTTTGTGAGATCTCTATGAACTAAGATTAGTGACGCTTTTTAGTGATAATAAGAGGAGCGTGCTTTGCACTTTCCAGGCTATAATCCATTCAGAATTTGTATGAAACTTTCGTTTTCGGCACATATACGCTGATATGTTTTGGGAATGACATCTGCATATTTACGCTGGGTTTATTCTCGAAATAACGGTGAAGCAATAGACGGGACAAAAATATATTTCCCCCTTCTCCTTAAACAACTTAATGTTTCAGCTATGAAATAGTTCAGTTTTGTATGTAGCCTAATGGCAAAGTGTTTATATTTAGTTTCGTTTTTTATTCAGCTTATTTAGAAAAACGTTTGGAGCATTTTTTATTCGTTAAAAATAAGTTGTTTTTTTAACGAACAGCGCCCAGCGGAAGACCATCATTGTATGTTTGATCAGTTTGCCTTCTCAGATCATCACGACTTGCCTAAAATAAAAGATATAAAACAGTTCAAGTATAAAACAATGGTAGCTTAAACGTTAAAGAATGTGTGCTATTAGGCGCATAGTTTGCTTATAAAAAGCTTGCAGGACATCGAGGCGCCAGAGCAATCACTTGCATTTTTTCAGTGGGAGCAATTTAAAGTTATCCGTCATTTTTGCTCACAAAGTACGAGTAATACATCAAAAAACGTTACAGCGTTTTTATAAAATAAAGAAAACCAAAATTATGCGCTTTCTGTCGTCTGGTTTTTGAACAGGAGCGCTTAACAAAATGAAGCAAAATGTATATGCCTCACAGACATAATAAATATATTTATAGAAAGCTTTAAATTATTACTTAACGAAATAAAACAAATCGAAAACAAAAAAACTCCTTCATGTAATCCGTAAAGATGAATTTCTAAAGGCGAGTCCAAGAGGAGATTGCCAGTCAGGATCTTTGCGACACTGACTCAGAATAAGTTTATTAATAAATAATTAAGATATGTCCTTACTCTTTCCTCGACACATTCATTGTTATTTGTTTTTGCCGGTGCTTGGGGCGAGTTTTAGCTTATTGTGTGCGCTTGAACGCCGATAGTAGCAGTTTTAACATGGAGTGACACGACATTTGACGTACAGATGACACTGGCACATGCCACTGAGTGTAGTGACACTTCCGGTGGCACGTCCGGTTTTCCACTGTCATGTGTCACTCGCTAGTGGCATGTGTAGTAACCTGTGTCACTCAGTGTCGCGCTGCATGTCACTGCAGTGACATCGTAACCGGGCGAAGCTTATGACATTAATTAACACGAGCAAAACCATATTTAATCATTACGCGACTTTTAACCTAATTTATCGCGTCGCAAGTAAGTTGATGAGCTACTCCACGATGTTTTAATTTAAACGCATTTATTTTATGTATTCGTAGTCATACTTCCGTACGTAATATAGTCATTTGACAGTACATGTCAGTCAAATTTATTGTGGCATGCTTATGTATGGGAGGGGTTACACTTATCTGTTGTACTGTATATTATTGCATCCTGGCAGTTCCTTTGTTCCCTACAATATGGACTTCTCTATGTTTTTAATTCATTCATTTATTTTATTATTTAACTTATTTTCATTTTAAGGTATTTTAAATAATATCCTTTAAAAAGTTATAATAAAATGCATGTTGAAAACTCATAACATTTATGCATGTAAGAAAACAGGTGTCATTTGCCTAATGATTTTTAAATATTAAAGCAAAGAGACTTATAACATTAATGTGCTTATAACGTGCTTATACTGACACCTACTGGCACATGTCACAAGATCACTGACACTGGCATGTGTCACTGACATTACTGGCATGTGTCTAAAAAGAGCCACTTGACAATAATGATGATCAGGGTTACACATAGGCTGTTAATATATTTGGGCCCAGGGGCCCACAAGTTATGTGTTAAACGTGCGTTGCATACATAGTACCCCCACCCCTACTCACCTCAGGGGCAAGAAAAAAAAGTTCAGGCTCAGGAATTTTTTCCACTATCAGCCCTGCGTAAAGCATATGCTGGAATAGTTGGCGGTTCATTCCGCTGTGGTGACCGCTGATAAATAAGGGACTATGCGACGAAAAGTGAAAGAATAAACTTCACTGGCGTTTCTGTCCAGATGCCAGTAATTCTGGAGAGTTCAGTAGTCTAATACTCACTCAGAGAGACGTTGTGTCTCCCATCAGCAGGTTTCATCTTCATATGACAAATCTCTACGCTACATTTCAAGTCAATATTTACCTAAACACAAACATCAGTCCGTATTTCTGGAGAGGAGTTCAATACTGCATCTGCTTTCGATTTGCAGTGAAAATCCTGTGAGACACTACTGTGCCCTGTGTGTCTATATTTATCCTTGTTTTGATAGCATGTGTTCTTCTATACTAGGAGAAGAAGGTCCGCCTTGTTCAAATGAGTGACACAATGGACCACCAATCAGCAGTGGGCTCTCAGGAGGATGAACCAGCCATGATTCTTCCTACCATACCTATTGGAGGCAGTAGAGATAAAGCAGGCAAAAAAATTTTAAGTTTTCTTTCCTGCGGGCGGCGTTTCTGAATTTTTAATGCTATTTTTATAGTCATGGGAATCTTGTTGACATTGTGGACTCATCAGATACAGCAATCCTGCCAAATCCACAGCATTTCCTCAGATCACTGCAAAATGATCTTGACCAGACATCCCATACTGTAGAAAGTTTCATTTCAGGCTTTTAAAATAAAAATCCTTTTATTCAGCATTGATTATTATGAGCAATAACCCTCATAATGTATTCGGGTTTGATTTGTTTGTCTGAAAGAGATTTAAAAAAAAATATATATATATATATATAAAGAAAGAAAAATTAGGCTCTGTAATGGTATGGGGTTGTGCCCTTAGCAAAGGTACCTTGCACTGCTGTGATGGCACCATTAATGGCATGTTTCCACTGAGTGGTAAGGTACGGGTTGGTACGCTTTTATGGCTATTTCCTCTGTCAAAGGGTACCTAAAAGCGAACTGTACCGTGCCACTTTTTGGTTACTCTTTGCAAAGGATACCTAGCACAAAAAAAGGGTTCCAAAAGGCAGAGCTAGGTGCGCAGCTGAACCGTATTGGTTTACTGAGATACGTCACTCACAGAAGCAGGAGAATGAAAACAAAGGAAACATCATTTTAAATTTTTTTTTGCCAAATCGCCCAGCCCTACCGCTGCGTAAAGCATATGCTGGAATAGTTGGCGGTTCATTCCGCTGTGGTGACCGCTGATAAATAAGGGACTATGCGACGAAAAGTGAAAGAATAAACTTCACTGGCGTTTCTGTCCAGATGCCAGTAATTCTGGAGAGTTCAGTAGTCTAATACTCACTCAGAGAGACGTTGTGTCTCCCATCAGCAGGTTTCATCTTCATATGACAAATCTCTACACTACATTTCAAGTCAATATTTACCTAAACACAAACATCAGTCCGTATTTCTGGAGAGGAGTTCAATACTGCATCTGCTTTCGATTTGCAGTGAAAATCCTGTGAGACACTACTGTGCCCTGTGTGTCTATATTTATCCTTGTTTTGATAGCATGTGTTCTTCTATACTAGGAGAAGAAGGTCCGCCTTGTTCAAATGAGTGACACAATGGACCACCAATCAGCAGTGGGCTCTCAGGAGGATGAACCAGCCATGATTCTTCCTACCATACCTCAGCAACAGCAGAAGAAGGTCCGCCTTGTTCTAATGAGTGACACAATGGACGACCAATCAGCAGTGGGCTCTCAGGAGGATGAACCAGCCATGATTCTTCCTGCCATACCTCAGCAACAGCACACTGACCCCGCCTCCCCAACGGTTGCCACAACGCCTGAGCCGCCTCCCGTCGCCTGCGGTGAGAAAGTTCTGACAGGAATCGCGCCGATACACCAAGAGTACCAGGTGAATATCTTAAAAATCTCTCCCTTCAGATATTTTTTGTGGCCTAAAATAACCACATTGTTAATTTATTATTATTTTTTTTATTATTATTATTTTTTTCATACATTTATTCATTAATTTTCTTTTCGGCTTTGTCCCTTTATTAATCAGGGGTTGCCACTGCGGAATAGACCGCCAACTTATCCGGCATATGTAAAATAAAATGAAAATAATAAAAATAATAATTTGAAAGGATTTTAATCGAATTTGATTAATCAATCTATCTGTATTTTAGACCTATTTGTGCAGTTAATTGCATCTAAAATAAAAGTGTGTTTACATAATCTATGCTAGTGTACTTTTGATATTTATTAAATATATAAATATATAAACAGGGACAGGCAAAATACAAATTGAAATGTATTTTAAAATAAAATACCAAATACCTCAGTATTACGTGCATCAAAATAAACTACAAAATACAGCAGCCACAACAAGGATCCAAATAAAATACTGTATTTTGTATTTTGAAAATACAACAGAATACTTCTACAAGGGAGCATGAAATTACTTAACAAACCTTCCCTAAATAGGCATATTCAATCCCAATCAATCAATATATCAATCCCTTAACCATTAAACTGACTTAGGCAAGTAAACAATGATTGACAACAGTAGACTGGAGTATTATTATATATTTGTGTCTAATATATACTGAATATAATTTGTTTTTATACTGAATATAATATGTATTGTGCCACTGACATCTTTAGACAGACATCTAAACTCTGTTAAAACTGCATAATTGTGATGATATGACACGTCTTTCTCTGGCTCAGCGCCAGCCAATGCGCCAAAGCTCAGCTGCTTCTCTAAGGGTAAACAAGCTAACGCTAACTTGTCATGCTTGTTAAGCTGGATAACGAGTTTAAACACCAGCACCAGGGACTTTACGGTTTTCACTTTAAAACAGAACAAAAGTAGGATTCTGTAGTGATTTACCCTGCTGTTGACCTCCCTTCCTCCTTATCCCTGTCTATGAGGCGCTGAACTCTGTATCAGTGCGTGAGAGACAGAGATCGTGTTCACTCCGCTCCGCGCTAAACTAAAGTGTTTTTTTAAATAATCAAACGTCCCCATGTCGAGCGACACAATGAACCGATTATGAAATTCGTTGCCAACGCTTTTAGTTATCGATTTTTATCGAATTAATCGATTTGTTGTTGCAGCCCTAATACAGATGATAAAAGGCGTTTGGAAGGTTGTTGCACAAGTTTTTAATGTAGATAGAGAATAATATAGGCCCTAATACTGATCCCTGTGGCACTCCTTTGTGCACCTCTAAAGATAAAGGGCCCTATCATAAACCTGGCGCAATGTGGCGCAAGGCGCGGCGCAATAGTCTTTTGCTACTTTCAGCTCGGCACAAGGGTCATTTTGAGGTGTTGCGCCACACTGTTTAAATAGCAAACGCGTTTGCGTTTATATGTGCGCCCATAGGCGTTCTGGTCTAAAAAAGCAGGCGTGTTTTGGCGTGTTGCTACTTTGAGAAACTGTAAATAGTCTGTTCTTTGGACCAGAACAAAGTCGTCTATTGTCTGGCTTACACACTACACACAAGTCGTAGAGCAATACGCAAATATCTTTACATATGAAAAATATATAATATCTTAAGGATATATATAATAGTGATATATGCATAGGAAATAAATATAAATGATTAAAATAATACAAAATATATTAATTTCTAGCCTACATTAATTTAAAAACCACTACCTTACTTTCTTAATCTCGGGAGGCTTTTTCAGTTTATTCAATTTGCTTTTGTATAATGTTATTATTATTAGCAGTATTATTTATTATACCCATATTTATAATTGTTTTATTAAAAACAAGCTTAGATTTGTCCACCTGTCAGGGTATAGCAGGTGTATTAGGAAATAACTCAGTGTTTTGACCACACTTTGTTATTATTGTTCATTTAGTCGTTTGCTGGAAAGTAGAACTGAATTTAGAAATAGTTTTGAAACAAATCTTTGCGCTTAACAAACGAAATTAATTATTTATAGGCTAATTGTTGTCTGTGCGGTAAGGTTTCCATATCCACGAGAGCAAAAGCGAAAACGAACTTACTTTACGTCATGTAAATAGCGAATGCGCTTATGGCGCGGCGCAGCTGGCTCTTAAAGGGAATGGGAGATGAGACTGGTTTATTCTCAAAACACACCTATAACTCATTAAGAAAACAAACTCAACCCTTTTAGAACATGCGCCATGGACAAAGCGAATTTTCCCATCCTTAAATTAGCAAAAATGCGTTCTGACACGCCCTGAAAGCGTTTGCGCCCTGCGTTTTGCGCTCTGCGCATGGACCGTCAAAATAGAGCCCAAAGAAGTCAGGCCGACCTTATAGACACACTGTGTTCTGTTGGTCAGATTATTAGCAAACTAAGTGGTAGCTTGGTTTGACATGCCGATCCGTGTTAAAGAGTTATTTAAAAGTGTATTTAAATAATATTATTGATCATATTTTTATCATATTATATTTATTTTTGTGTTCTTAATTTATCATTTTTTATTATTAATCATGTTATTGTTTTTATTATTTAATATTAATATTGTTATAGTTATTTGTGTCCCGAAACAGGTTAAACACAGGAGACTCAGGAAAGACATGGGGTGTAGACAATTCAATACCGGACTAAAGTTAAAGAGTTCATTAAAAGTGTGTGATTAACCGTGTCAAATGCCTTTGAAAGATCAAGAAAAAGAGCAGTGCAACAATTCTTACGATCCATTGCCTGTAAAAATCATCTAAAACCTTCAGTGTGGCAGAAACAGTACTATGTTGCTTTCTGAATCCAGACTGGTAATTTGACAGTAAGTTGATCACTGCTTAATTTTTTGAACATTTTTGCAATGATGCAAAATTTGGAAATTGGTCTATAAATGTTTACTTCTGATGGTTGTCCTCCTTTTAAAAGGGGAAGTACAAAAGCCGACTTCCAAATTCTAGGGATGTGACAACTGATAAGACTTAAATTAAAAATGTGTGTGAGTAGCTCAGCTACATAATCTGCAGCCACCTTCAAAATGAAAGGATCCAGTTTGTCACGACTCGGCTCTCATTCATTCATTCATTCATTCATTCATTCATTCATTCATTTTCTTGTCAGCTTAGTCCCTTTAATAATCCTTGGTCGCCACAGGGGAATGAACCGCCAACTTATCCAGCAAGTTTTCACACAGCAGATGCCCTTCCAGCCACAACCCATCCCTGAGAAACATCCACACACACACACACACTACGGACAATTTAGCCTACCCAAATCACCTGTACCGCATGTCTTTGGACTGTGGGGTGACCGGAGCACCCAGAGGAAACCCACGCGAATGCAGGAAGAACATGCAAACTCCACACAGAAACGCCAACTGAGTCGAGGTTCGACCCAGCAACCTTCTTGCTGTGAGGCGACAGCACTACCTACTGCGGCACTGCGTCGCCCACGACTCGGCTCTCTTCACACATAAACTCACTCGTTCGCAGAAGTTATCAAAAAACACGTAGATTTATTTACAAACACTCACTTGAAGGACACTGGAAACACAGGAGACTCAGGAAAGACATGGGGTGTAGACTATTCAGTACCGGACCAGGAACTGAACACAGGGACTAAATACAGGGGACATGATTAAACTGATTACATACAGGGGAGAGACGCAGGTGACACTCATAAAACATTAACAAATGGCGGGAACTTGAACCAATGGGTCACATGATGTACACGGAGCACATGGAACAGTACAGAACCTGGCATTACCCCCCCTTTTTTTGAAGGCACGTCTTCTAAACAGAATATAAACCTAATTTACAGGAGGGTTAGAGGTGGCGGACAGGGAAGAGTCTTAGAAGGGAGGAGCCAGGAGATGAGTTGGAGGACTTGTGAAAGGAGGAGATGGCCAGGGCGGAGGTACAGGAGGGAGGAGACAGAAAGGGAGCTGGAGCAGGAGGCATAGGACCCAGGACACAGCCAGGAGGCCGGCCCAGGGTGGAGTTGACGGAGGGAGGAGCCATGGAGGAGGAGTGGTCTCTGACTCCAGGGGGCTGACTGCGGGAGACGGCGCAGCTGGAGGTGGAGCCCAAGGATGAGATGGGGAGCCGTAGGGCGAAGGTGGCGTCAAGGTCCTGGAGGGCTGAGATGGAGCGGATGACTCACCCAACCGAAGCGAAGACACGGGCCCGAAAGCTCGCGGCGGAGCTAGAGTGTCAGAAGACTGAGGCGTAGCTGGAGGGAAGGAGAAGCTCAAGGTAGTCGGCAGGATGGAGGGACGAGATGCAGCCAGAGGAGCGGAGTCCAGAGGCGGAGGCAGGGCGACCACTGACCAAGGCAGAGCCAGAGGGACGAGGGAGCCTGGCGAAACTGGTGGGCTGATAGCCCACGGAGGAGACGAGGGAGGAGAGACCCAACATGAAGCCTTAGGATCGAAGGGCCGAGGTGGAGTCCGTTGCTCGGAGGGCGGAGGAAATGACGTCAGGCGACAACCTCTGGCTGGCGATGCAGGTAGGCAGACCCTCAGTGAGACCTCCTCTCCTGGAGCTGGAAGGTGAGCTGGGGGGCTGACTGACTGCATCAGCACTGGAGTTGGCTGTAGGGCTGTAGCCGATGACATGAACGGAGGTGAAGAGGGTGGGTTGGGTGGGATGCTCACCACCCTGGAGCTACCGTCCTCCGGGATCAACAGGGCTGGGAGGGTGTCTGGGAACAGCTCACTGCAACTCTGAATTAAACATTTGCTGTCTGGAAACAGCCTAAGGGACGTGACTTCGATCCAGAAGTCGATAAGCAGCATGTTTTGGTCCAGTGACTATACTATTGTGAAAATATAATGGATTTACATTTATGATCATATAAATCCCGAGTTTTAGTTGAAACTGCAACTGAGGTGTGTGTATGTGTCTGTGTTTTCTGTCAGGACGGCCTTGGATATGGCATTGGAGAGCTGGTGTGGGGAAAGCTACGGGGTTTCTCCTGGTGGCCCGGACGTATCGTGTCCTGCTGGATAACAAACCGTGGACCGGCGGCTGAAGGCACACGCTGGGTCATGTGGTTCGGTGATGGAAAACTGTCTATGGTGAGTCTGACAACCATCAGCATGAGTGAAACCTGCATACATTGACATCCTTTGTAGGAAGATTGTATTATTAATTCATTATTATGATCAGTATTTATTTTAGTTAATGTCTAAATGTTTTTATTATTTATTATTGTTATTATTTTTTTATTGATCATATTTTTATTATATTATGTTTGTTTTGTGTTATTAATTTATCATGTTTAATTAAGAATCATGTTATTGTTTTTATTATTTATTTTTGTTTTACATTAATCATATTTTTATTTATTATATTATATTCATTTTTTGTGATAATAATTTTTTATTTTAATTAATAATCAGGTTATTGTTTGATATTTTATTATTATTTTTATAATATGTATTTTTCACTTATTTATTATATTTTTAACATGATTTATGTATTCTTTTAATTAATAATCATTTTATGAATGTGTTGTTGTTAATATTATTACTATTTTATATATTAATAATATTTGAATTAATTATATTCATTTTAGTATAAATTTTTTAACTATTGTGTTGTTATTATTTAGTATTTTATAGTAATCATATTTAATTTATTATATTGTATCATTTATTGTTCAAATTATTATTTTACTATTTAATCCCTATTTATTTAACTGTATTTTTTTTTATTATTATCTTTTATATAACTATATATTCATGTATTATTTTATGTTCATTTTTAGTATTAATAATTGTTTATATAAATATATTAATAATTGATCATTGTTATTATTTATCATTTTATTAATGTATTATTTTATTAAACATCTTTTGTTTCATAAATTTTTTATATTTTTAATTTATTACTTTAATCAGTATTCATTTTAATTATTTTGTTATTGTTTTATATTATAAATTTATTTTATTCATTTATTATATATTGTTTGTGTTATTTTAAATGTACTACTTTAATACATTTTTATTTTAATTATCGTATCTTTGTCTTTAATGTTTATTTTCATGGTAATATTTGTATCATTGTGCTATATTTTAATTATAATTAATAATTTTTATAATAATTAATTTAATTATATTTGTTTATGGAATGGTACTTATTTGAGTGACTCATGTTTTTCATTATTTTATTGTCTGAATCTTTTTGTAATTATAATATTGTATTATATTGATATTATTAGTTCTTATTTGTTTTTGTAACATTTATTTAGATTATTTTAGTTATATTTTATTATATTGATATTCATAATTTTATAATTTTTCTTTATTTTATTTAGATATTGTCATTTTATTTTTTATTTTAATTAATTTTTAATACATACCATTTTAATTAACAGTAATGGGGTATATGCCGAAGCATGGTAATAGGACTTTTAATTTGCCAGTAACCTGGGTTAAGCGCTTCCGGCGAATTGAATGTCAATGCAAAAACCGGCACGTTTATGGTCTGTTTTCTTTAAAAATCAGCTATCTCCACTGGCTGAGTGAAATTCGATTTAAAGTGGGTCTCAGATTGTACAAGAAGCACTGCATTAAATTACATTTCCCCCAGCCATGTCCTTATAATATGAGCATTTATTTTACCCCAGTATATTCAATGGAGCTTCTGCGCTAGCCTGCCGATTCTGACTGGCGCGTGCGAGTAAACGGCTTTTTGTCTCGTTTTACGTTTAAGCAACTAAATAAATACCAAAGTTTGTTTAACTGAATGTATTTTAATGATATTACAACATCGATGCTGTATAAGGAACCGTATAAAATGGAAAAAAGTTCACAATAACAGGTCACCGGAAGTTTATTAGTATGGGAAACACACTAGCTCGGCATATACCCTATTATTTTATTTGGTTTCATAAATTATAAATGTTAGTGCCAACTTTTTTATGCTAGACTATATTTTGTCTTTTGTAATATGATAAATAATTAATTGTATGTTTGATTGAATTATTATTGTTTTATTATGTATTATATTTGTCATTTTTATAATTTCATGATAAGTGTTGATAACAGGCATCCCAGTAATCTCTGTCTCTTCTCAGATGTGTGTGGAAAAGCTGCTGCCCTTGAGTGCATTTTCCAAAACCTTTCATCAGCCCACCTACAACAAACAGCCCGTTTACAGAAAAGCCATCTTTCAAGTTTTACTGGCAAGTCATGCATAAGCAAATACATTTCTCTGTCATCTAACGGTTTTGTACACACTCCGCTGAAGATATCCATTACCCTACATGTTTAATTTTGTTTGTTAAGCACAAAGATTTGTTTCTGAATTCAGTTCTAATTTCCAGCAAATGAATAAATGAACAATAATAATGACGTTTGCTCAAACAAGTTATATGCAAACACACGTCCTGTTCTTATGCCCCATATGGTGATGCAAACGTCCCCCAAACCCGCCAGGTGGACAAAATCTAAACTTGTTTTTATTAAAACAAACATAAATAAGCAAATAATAAATAATACTGCTAATAATAATAACATTATACACATGCACATTGTCATGAATAAACAGAAAAAAGCCCCTCAAGGTGAAGAAGGCATGGAGGCGGTGTTTTTTATATTTATGTAGATGATAATCATTTTTGTAGCATTTGAATCCTTTATTTGTTTTCATATGTAACGATATCTGTGTGTTGCTGTATATCCTGTGTGTATTAAGCAATGTGTACGCGTTTGGACCTTTATAGGTGCACAACTAATGCTCTCTGCGCTGGACTTTAGACCAGGTTTTGTTTGATCAATGTTGTGGTCTATTTCAGTTGCTCAAAATAGCAACGCACCAACAATGCGCCTTAACACACCTCCTTTCAAGACCAGCACACCCATGAGTCCACTAAAGCCTGGTTTATACTTCTGCGTCAAGTGACGGGCGTAACCCACGGCGCATGCAAAACATGTAGCTGTGCATTTATACTTCTGCGCGCTGTCTCTGTCGGTCTGCATTAACGCCTCCAAAACGCTAGTTGGGAGTGAGGTGTAAATGTTCCTCTGTGTCGAGTTTCTTCGCTGCTGTTTTGGTTTTCCTGAACGCTTCCTGAATGTACAAGTGGCTCAAACTCGCTCATTTTGAGGCAGAAACCAGCGGACATGCAACAACTTTAACTATGAGGTAAACACAAAACAAAACTTTCCATCCGGAGCTCCTTCACGGGACTCCACACTTGTAAACATCGGGCTTGCGTGGCTCTCGGTCCCGCCCTGACTCGTCAGCGCTACCAAGCCGACCTATCACAGAGCTTGCGCTACGCGTCGTTGGGACGTGTAGTTAAATATTTTGAGAGGTACATGTCAGCGACGCTGACGGCCACGGCATAGGGCTATGCGTCAATGCATAGGCTGCGCCGTAGCATACGTGTGCGTTTGACGCAGAAGTATAAATCAGCCTTAAGTGGCACTAATGGATTTGCTATGTAAACAACAAGACGCAAATTGTGAAAATGAGGGTTGCACTGGTCTGGAAATAGCAACAGATTGCAGCAAACACATCTTGCGCCTTATTGCGCCAGGTGTATGATAGAGCCCTCTAATTGAAAAGGTGCACTTTAATTTTGAATGGTGACACACAGAGACAAAGGGCTCTGTTTTACCTATCCAGGTGCAAAGTTCAAAGTACAGGGCGCAAAAGCATTAAGGGGGTGTCAGAATCCCCTTTTGCAATTTTAGGGACAGACAAATCCACTTTGCGCCGTGGCACATGGTCTAACAGGGTTGAGCTTATTCTCCTAATGAGTTATAGGGGTGTTTTGAGAATAAACCAAGCATAGTCTCGTCTGCCATTCCCTTTAAGAGTCTGTTGCGTCGCACCATAGCGCATTTCCTATTTACATGGCGGACTTTGTAAGCGGAAAAACTGAACGCTTCACTAGAGAGAAAACAGTTAAACAGAGCATCTGCAGTGCGGGAATGAGAGATGAGCCTCCTCATTGTTTACTTTCGCTTTCATTCTCGTGGATAAGGAAACATGTACGCACAGACATTCATTAGCCTATACATAATTAATTTTGTTTATTAAGATTTGTTGCAAAACTATTTCTAAATAAATTCTTATGTCCAGCAAAGAAATAAATGAACAATAATAACGAAGTGTGTTCAAATAACTGAGTTATTTCCTAAAACACATGCTGTGCCCCATATGGTCTAAAACCTGACAGGTGAACAAATCTAAGCTTGTTTTTTTTTTTTTAAAAAACGAATCTAAATATGGATATAATAAATAATACTGCTAATAATGATAACATTATACAAAAGCAAATGGTTATGAATGAACTGAAAAAGCCCCCCGAGATGAAGAAGGCATGAAGGTGGTGGTTTTTATATTTATGTAGGCTAGAAAAGAATAATTTTTGTAATATTTGTATTATATTATATTGAATTGTATTATAACAGAAGTCAAGTTAAACAAAAAGATAATGATATTATATATTTGTTAAGTGTGACGTCAGGCAAAGCGGCTTCCTAGTCCAAGCGCTATATCAAACTGTATGGGGAGACTCATCAAATGGTAATAATAAACATTTACAAAGCGCTGTAATACTTTCAGAAATCCTGATTGCTATATTGCTATATATATATATATATATATATATATATATATATATATATATATATATATATATATATATATATATATATATATATATGTATATATATATATATATATATATAAATATATTTATTTGTGTGTGTGTGTGTGTTTGTGTATATATGTGTGTGTGTGTATATACACACACATATATATATATGGATATATATATATATATAACAAGCGGATAGTTCAGATAGACAGCATGCTTTCACTTTCTTATTTGACACAAAACACACTTTTACTAGTAGAAATGATATCTCTACTCACCATTCTCTCTTCTTTATAAGCCATTTATATGCATGTTAGAAGTCTATAATGCACTGTGATATAGCCGGGCTTGTTCAGTTTAGGAATGCATTGCTTTCTTAGGACAACCAAACTGCTGTACAGGTCAATTCAACCGAGCCGAGACCACTTGATTGTGTGAAAGCACTCTTAATCTTTTTTTTTCTATCTGTCAGTGATTTATTTAAGCGTCATTGTGTGTTTTGTTGGGTTCAGACAGGGGGTTTGCGTGCAGGTAAACCGTTCCCTCACTGTGAGTACACGAACTATACCCCGGAGGGAAAGATGGAGGAGAATGAGACGCAGGCGCAGCAGATGATTAAGTGGGCCAGCACTGGGTTTCTGCCCTCTGGGCCCAAAGGCCTGGAGCCCCCACCAGGTACTGTTTATTATTATATTAATATATGACTGAACAAGCATGCGGGCTCTACACCACAAAGTGGCTCATTGTTTAGAATTTATCATTGAAATTAATAATATGTGAAATTATATAAATGTAATACAATATATGTATATATAAAACATTCTAATTTGTATTGTATTTGAGGTTAGTTTTGAACAGCACATGGTTCTCTAGGCTAGTTTTGAACATCGGATGGCGCTCTAGGCTAGTTTTGAACAGCAGATGGCGCTCTAGGCTAGTTTCAAACAGCGGATGTCGCTCTAGGCTAGTTTTGAACAGCAGATGGCGCTCTAGGCTAGTTTCAAACAGCGGATGTCGCTCTAGGCTAGTTTCAAACAGCGGATGTCGCTCTAGGCTAGTTTCAAACAGCGGATGGCGCTCTAGGCTAGTTTTGAACAGCAGATGGCGCTCTAGGCTACTTTTGAACAGCAGATGGCGCTCTAGGCTAGTTTCAAACTGCGGATGTCGCTCTAGGCTAGTTTTGAACAGCAGATGTCGCTCTAGGCTAGTTTCAAACAGCAGATGGCGCTCTAGGCTTCTTTTGAACAGCAGATGGCGCTCTAGGCTATTTTTGAACAGCAGATGGAGTTCTAGGCTAGTTTTGAACAGCAGATGGCGCTCTAGGCTAGTTTTGAACAGCAGATGGCGCTCTAGGCTAGTTTTGAACAGCAGATGGCGCTCTAGGCTAGTTTCAAACAGCAGATGGCGCTCTAGGCTTCTTTTGAACAGCAGATGGCGCTCTAGGCTACTTTTGAACAGCAGATGGAGTTCTAGGCTAGTTTTGAACAGCCGATGGAGCTCAATGCTAGTTTTTGCTATACCTTTGACATTAAAAAGCAGGCCTGTGCAGAGACTGTCCAAAGGGCATGTGCAGAAATATTTTTTTGAAGAAGGGGGGTGGGGGGGTTGTTGTTGTTGCCGTTGTTGTTGTCACTGTCACGCACGTACTCAAGAGCTGCGTTGTCGCGTGCGTACAGCTTTAAGCGGGGGGGTTGGAGCGTGTGTACTCGAGAGCGGTGTTGTCGGTGTTGGGGGCACTTTTGATCATTTTGGAAGGGCACTTTCTATCCAAGACTAAAAAGGGCATGTGCACTGCACAGGTTGAGCCCTATGTGTGCACGTGCCTGAAAACAAGTGTATGTGTGTTGTAGCGGAGCGGAACCCATATACTGAGGTGTATCCAGAAATGTGGGAGCCTGAAGCTGCTTCATACACTGCTCCACCTCCTGCCAAGAAACCCAGGAAGAACAGCGTAGAGAAGACCAAAATCAAGGAGATCATTGATGAAGGAACCCGAGGTATCACACACACACACACACACACACACACACACACACACACACACACACACACACTCTCTCTCTTATGCATGATGCAGCCATTGTTGACAGCATATCTTGTGTTTCCTCAGAGAGACTCATGTTAGAAGTCAAACAGAAATGTCGCAATATTGAAGGTGAGTTTGATGCTGTATCTGAACCTGAAAGTATCTGCTTGCTTTGAATCAAACATCTCTGAAACAACATTCAGATTAATTCAATTCAATTCACCTTCATTTGTATAGAGCTTTTACTATGTAGATTGTGTCAAAGCAGCTTCATGTAGAAGATTATAGTATAAAACAAGTATTTACTAAGATTCCACACTGCAAAAAATGCTTTTTTTACTTAGATTTTTTGTCTTGTTTCTAGTCCAAATATCTAACAATTGCTAAGTCAAGACTTTTCTAGACAAGCAAAACATACTGACTTGTTTTGCTTGTCTAGAAAATGCTTCTTAATATAAGAAATTGTAGATGTTTAGACTAGAAATAAGACAAAAACTCTAAGCAAGTAAAGCATTTTTGCATTGCACAGCCTCAGTCCAAAGTTCGAATTGCAATTTCGAGCCATAAATTTATTATGTATTATCTGTGCTATTCAACAGATATGTTTGAACAATTAAATTAATGTCATTTTAGAATATTACAGTAAATCTCACAGGAGACAGTACTCATTTTAAACGGACATGTCATCATTTGCTCATCCTCCAAACCTGTTCGAGTTTCTTGAACACAACGTAAGATATGACTTCCATATGTTTTGTACCTACTATAGACATCAACTGCTGCTTTTTTCCCCAACATTCTTTACAATATCTTCTTTTGTGGTTAACACTGGAAAGAAATTCATACACGTTTGCACAAGACTTTTGGCCAGCGGAGAAATTAAAATGGTCGTGCCCAACTGAGTCTGGTTCCCTCAAGATTTTTTTTTCTTCACTCCCATCAGGTGAAGTTGTTTTTCCCTCTCCGCTGTCGCCACTACCTCGCATGGTTCAGGATTGGTAGAGCTACGCATCGATGAATTTGCTCTTCAGTGTTTGAACTCTCAGTAATGATTAAATCACACTAAACTGAGCTAAACTGAACTGAACTGAACTTAAACACTAAAACCTGAACCACACTGTTCCAGTTACTATGACCATTTATGTGAAGCTGCTTTGACACAATCTACATTGTAAAAGCGCTATACAAATAAAGCTGAATTGAATTGAATTGAACACATTTAGATCTACTTGAGTAGATGGTGACCCAGCAGGCACACAACATCATAAGACATTAATATTAGGTTAAATTTAGATTATGTCAGGTGACTAAAATTCAATGTCTAGCCAGTGCCTAAGCACAATGTTATTGGCGTCAAATGACGTTGATATTTGGTTGATTTTTGGGTGTGTTGAAAAGTGACCAAATTCCAACATCTGATGTTGGACATAGTGGTAACGTCCGTCACAACGTCAAAGTGTTACATGATTAGATGTTGATATTTGGTTGATTTTAGATTGGACGTTGGACGTTGACGTCGGCCTGACGTTGGCTTCTGATGTCAACCCAATTTTAAATTCTACACAAAATCCCACATTGCCATGACGTTGGGGTACAGAGGGGTACAACGTCAATATGACGTCATGTTGATGTTCTGTGCCTGCAGGGAAGGAAAGTTCCTGTTTAAGGTGAACTATGTCTTTAATAATGTGACAGTAGCATGCTGTTCCTCATGTGGTGACCGAGTGGTTTTTGTGTGCAGATATCTGTATTTCCTGTGGAAGTCTGAACGTCACACTTGAGCATCCTCTTTTTGTCGGTGCAATGTGCCAGAGCTGCAAGGTACACAAACAAACACAAACATTTGATTTTGTGAATTGTGGGGACATTCCTTATGTTTCTGTTTGTGTTTTATACTGTATAAACTAGGCTGCACGATATTGCAGATATCGGACATTGTGAAATTTTGTGGCTGTAAGGGCATCCGCTGCATGAAACGTATGTCTGAATAGTTGGTGGTTCATTCCGCTGGGGAAATCCCTGATAAATCAGAGACTAAGGCCGTACTCACACTAGGTACAGTTGCCTCGAACCGGGCCAAAGCACGCTTGTCCCCCCTCCCGTCTCCCCCGACGGCCCGCACTCACACCATATCGGGCCTCGGCACGCTTACGTCATCGCTGCTGCTCTATTCAGTGAGAAGCGCTCTCTATGGCAAGCCTTTTTAGCATTTAAATCTTTGTTCTGACTCAATAAATATATTTAGAGATATTTCTAACTATATTTTGACTAGTCATAATTATAATTCCACTACTCAGAATGACAATTAGAGAAATCTGCAATTACAATTGTTCTAGTACGAAATCAGATTGGAGATATCTGCAAATATTATGACTAGTCATATTCCTCCATTGACTTCCATTGAAAAATATTTGCAGATATCTCTAAATGAGTTTTGATTAGTCACAATTGTTATTAGAGATATCTCCAAATGAATTTTGACTAGTAACAATAGTAATTAGAGATATCTCTAACTGAGTTACTACTAGTCATAATACATTTGGAGATATCTTTAATTCGTCATATTTAGAGATATTTACAAATATATTTGAAGATATCTCTAATTAATTTACTAATAGTCGAATTACAGTTGTAGATATCTTGAATTGGATTATTACTAATGTTATTATGACTAGTCAAAATTCATTTGGAGATATCTCTAATTACAATTGTGACTATTCAAAACTCATTTAGAGATATCTTCAAATATTTTTCAATGGAAGTCAATGGAGGAATATGACTAGTCAGTCATAATATATTTGCAGATATCTCCAATCTGACTAGTCGAATTGTAATTATGACTAGTCAAAATATAATTAGAGATATCTCTAAATATATTTATGGATAGTCAGAACATGGTTTAAATGCTAAAACGGCTTGCCATACGCTTTCACCCAGCAGCACAGTGGAGATTTCTCTAGTTATATCCTTTCAGTCGTTTGATATGCAGTGACATGCAGTCAAATATTTCGTACCGCGCCAAAGCCCAAGTGATCCGTGCTCAGGCACACCTCTTCCAACCGGGCCAGGGCCGGCCAAGTGATGGCGATCGTTTCCCGATCGTTTGAGAAGTGTTGAGTGTGCTGAATCGGGCTCAAGCACGGTTTACTTGGCCGGCCCTGGCCCGATTGGAAGAGGTGTGCCTGATCGCGGTTCACTTGGGCTTTGGCGTGGTACGCTTGTGTGTGAGTGCAAAACGCGCCAAAGCCCGAAACTGATAGCGATACGTGACTTTTAAGGGACTGTTTCATATGGATTTATTAATCATTCTTACTGTTCAGTGATCGCAAACTGCCGTAGTTTATTAAAGACTCAAACCCCTCACTGCACGACAGCTGCGCGCCTTCAGCAGACCTCCTCATTCCTGCAGCACGAGAGCTTTATGATTATGAGATCCAAAAGTGGTGGATCTGTTCGGCGAAATATCTGACTTCGTGTCACCGCATCCCTAAGGACTGTTTGGCGAAATATTTGACTGCATGTCACTGCATATCAAACGACTGAAACGATATAACTAGAGAAATCTCCACTGTGCTGCTGAGTGAGTGAGAGAGCGCTTCTCACTCAGCGTAGCAGCGATGACGTAAGCGTGCCGAGGCCCGATTGTGGTGTGAGTGCTATAACTATACTGTGTATTTACATCGTGGCATATTCATCCATGTAAACACAAAAAAACAACATTAACACTATAGCAGACACTCTAAAAAGCTCATTTCCAGCCACTAGACTTTTCTGACAGGGTATTCGAGGGTCAGAATGTTGTTGGACTGCTCTACAGGAGTTATTATTGTGGATTATAGATCGCAAAATTTAGTTTTTATTTTACCGCTATTTTTTTAAAAGCATGACAGTAAAACTCGAAAGCGGTTATGGATGTATTAAAACGTGTTTGTTTGTTGTAAAAATTTGTAATATTGATAAAAAAATACTAATTTGTGGATCTCCTTACTTCCGGGTGCAGCTATGCTGCCAGTGTGGCTGGTGTATTCTGGGAAATTCTCTTACCCCTTCCCCTCAGCACTATGCTTTCTTTTTTTTGTTTTTTTTTTGTAATTCAGTTTTTTATTTCCGAAAGTGAGAATATACCATTTTTACAATCAGATAACAAAATACTTTAAACAGATATAACCCCATATATATTCCCCATCCCCCCACCCCATTATATGCGCGTCAGGAAACACAGAATAACTATAGTTTAGACCAAGCTGTTAGATAATTTACATTAAGTTGTCATCCATAGCATCAGATGAGGGTTAAGTGTCCTAGATTTCTTTGACGTTGCATATGTAGATTTTCCATGCCGTAAGAATGTCCACTTTGGCATGGTTGATCCGTTAGCACTATGCTTTCAAGCTAAAGAGAACTGGGACACCCCAACACCTTCACGTGAACGCGCAAAATAAGGGAAAGGGCTTTGTGGTAGAATTGGGATTGGGCCTAAGCCGAAAGAAAATGAATGAATGTCTTAAAACATGCACACAGTTTCCTGTTAGGGTAGAGCATTAAAATATTGTTTGCACTGTACAAAAAAGCAATGGAAACCTACGCGTGTCCAGCTGTCAGTGTTCTGTGCTCTGATTGGTTCTGAGGCTGTGTTGTTGCTGGTCTTCAGAACAGCTTTCTGGAGTGTGCGTATCAGTACGATGAGGACGGCTATCAGTCCTTCTGCACCATCTGCTGTGGAGGGAGACAAGTGCTCATGTGCGGAAACAACAACTGCTGCAGGTCAGTGTGTGTCAGACTGTGGCCACGTGTGTGTGAAAAAAGCATTGTTTTCATTTCAGGTCGAGTCCAGCATAATTTTAATATTTATATTTAACAAATAAATACAGTTGAAGTTAGAATTATTAACTCCCCTGTATAATTTTCCCCCAATTTCTGTTTAACTGGAATATTTTTTTAAACACATTTCTAAACAGAATAGTTTAATAACTCATTTCTAATATCTGATTTATTTTATCTTTGCTGTGATGACAGTACATAATAAAATATTAGACACTAGTATTCAGCTTAAAGTGACATTTAAAGGCTAATTAGGGTAAATGGGCAGGTTAGGGTAATTAGACAAGTCATTGTATACTGATGGTTTGTTCTATCGGGAAAAAAAGTAAAAAATTATTGACCTAAAAATGTTTTTTTTTAAATTAAAAGCTGCTTTTACTCTAGCTGAAATAAAACAAATAAGACTTTCTCCAGAAGAAAAAATATTATAGGAAATACTGTGAAAAATTCCTTTCTCTGATAAACATAACTTGGGAAATATTTAAAAAAGAGCAAGAAAATTCGCAGGAGGGAATACTTCAGCTGTATATTACAGGTGGGAATCTTTAGGGACTTTAAGATCCGATTCTGATTGTGGAAGTCACCTGTTTCTTCTGCTATGTAAACATATATGGGAGAGAGATTGGAATCTCTGTATGACAGTACTGACATCTTAAAAATTAATGAATAAAATCTGCATAATTGCTCTTTGTATTGTGGCATTTGAGCGTTACATTCAGCGCTTGTTCATGCTGATTATTAAATAAAGAATTTTTAAAATGGCAGCACTGACATATATTCCATTCATAAACAAAAGCAACTTTTATTCAGGTTAAAATGTACAGTTGGAAATATGCAGATGACAAAAATATACAGTTGAAGTCAAAATTATTTGCCCTTCTGTGAAATATTTTCCAAATGATGTTTAAAAGAGCAAGGAATTTTTCACAGTATTTCCTCTAATATTTTTTCTTCTGGAGAAAGTCTTGTTTGTTTTATTTCAGCTAGAATAAAAGCAGTTTTTAGTTGTTTTAAACCATTTTAAGGTTAATATTATTAGCTCCCTTAAGCAATACTTTTTTAAATTATCTACAGAACAAACCACTGTTAGACAATAACTTGCCTAATTACCCTAACCTGCCTAGTTAACCTAGTTAAGTCTTTAAATGTCACTTTACGCTGAATACTAGTGTCTTGCAAATATTTACTTACTTTCTAGTAAAATATTATGTTCTATAATCATGGCAAAGATAAAAGAAAGCAGATATTAGTAGGCCCACACGGAATCTGCATGCGCAGAAATCTGCATTTTTCTTGAAAATGTATAATTATTCAGTTTTTAAATTAATTTCAGTGATAATATTAACTAATGTGAAAATGTTGTGATTTATTTGATGTATTTACCATAGGGTTTGTAAAGTAATATTTTCTGTCTTTTAGTAGATCTTTTATATGAGACCTGCTTTGTTCAGCACATAAGTGGATCTAACTACAGTTGCATTTTAAACATTAAATAAAAGTTAAAAAGGTATTATTATTAAATTTTTAGATACGATACTCCCAAAATCATTCATGTAAATCCTCAGATTTTTTACAAACTTCTCCGCATGAATAGTTAAAATTGTGCGCAGATTCTGTCTGGCCCCCATTGTTAGAAATGAGTTATTAAAACTATTCTGTTTAGAAATGTGTTGAGAAAAATCTTATTTCCGTTAAACAGAAATTGAAGTAAAAAATATACAGGGGGGCTAATAATTCTGACTCAACTGTATAAGCACTCAAAAAAGCACCAAAAAAAGCTCCAATTGTGGTTAAAATCTACAGTTGGAAAGATGCATTTGCACAGACGACAAAAATAAAAACAGTTTTGTTGCTAAGTGTTATTTTTGATGGTGTTTCCCATGTTGGTGTGTACATTTTGACTCTTTGCTGTGTATCCATCCGTGTTTCCCCCTCTTGTTATTTTGTTTGTTTGTTTTTGTTTGTTGATATTGTAAATCTTGAATTCTGTGCACTGTGAGAAGCAGTAGGGGTTGGACTTTTCTTTTATGATACTATATTAAGTATTTTCTCCACTTTTTTTATACACAGTCAGGGAGGAAGGGGTAGATTTTGTATTTTTATTAAGTGTAGTTGGTTTCAGTTGGGTGTTTAGTTAGAGTGTACTTTTTGTTTATTATTTTTCTGTGGGTCCTCTCAAGGTAGTTGGCTTCACGTTTTGGGTGATAAAAAAAAAAGACTCCAAAGGGCCATTAAAGTGAATTTTATTTGTCCGGTGTTTTTTTATGTTGCGTCCTTAAACTTAGACCAGGGTCGTAACAATAGCTGAAGAATTATTTTGGGATTTGATTGCGACTCTGGGCGAGGCAGTGGCGCAGTAGGTAGTGCTGTCGCCTCACAGCAAGAAGGTTGCTGGGTCGCTGGTTCGAACCTTGGCTCAGTTGGCTGTTCTGTGTGGAGTTTGCATGTTCTCCCTGCCTTCGCGTGGGTTTCCTCCGGGTCCTCCGGTTTCCCCCACAGTCCAAAGACATGCGGTACAGGTGAATTGGGTAGGCTAAATTGTCCGTAGTGTATGAGTGTGTGCGTGAATGTGTGTGTGGATGTTTCCCAGAGATGGGTTGCGGCTTGAAGGGCATCCACTCCGTAAAAACTTGCTGGATAAGTTGGCGGTTCATTCCGCTTTGGCGACCCCGGATTAATAAAGGGATTAAGTCGACAAGAAAATGAATGAATGAATGAATGATTGTGACTCCCAGGATTGGAATTGTATCTTGAAGTCCCCAAAGCTTCCCAGCTAAGAGGTTTGTGTGTGTGTGTGTGTGTGTGTGTGTGTGTGTGTGTGTGTGTAGGTGTTACTGTGTGGAGTGTGTGGACCTGCTGGTGGGCACTGGTTGTGCTCAGGCGGCTATTAGTGAAGACCCCTGGAACTGCTATATGTGCTGCAGCCGCAGCGTCTTCGGCCTGCTGAGACGCAGAGATGACTGGACCTCACGACTGCAGCTATTTTTCGCCAACAACCATGACCAGGACTTTGTAAGTTCAGATTATGTGTGTGTGTGTGCGCGTGCGTGTTTTGACCAGTGTGTGAAAATTACTTTAAAAATTTTTGACAAAAGGAATTAATTACTAATTGCACCACTTAAATGACATTTAAAGGGATAGTTGATCCCAAAATGTAAATTTACTCACTATTTACTCTCCCTCAAGTGGTTCCAAATGTTGGCCTTTAGCTAAAGACAATGATATTTAATAATACAACACACTGGCTGAGTGGTTAACACTGTTGCCTCACAGCAAGAATGTCGCTGGTTCGAGTTCCAGCTGGGTCAGCTGACATTTTTTGTGTGAAGTTTGCATGTTCTCCCCATGTTGGCGTGGGTTTCCTCCGGGTGCTCCGGTTTCCCCCACAGTCCAAACACATGCGCTACAGGTGAATTGAATAAACTGAATTGGCCGTAGTGTATTAGTGTGAATGAGTGTGGATGGATGTTTCCTAGTTCTGGGTTACAGCTGGAAGGACATCCGTGGTGTAAAACATATGCTAGAATATTTGGCGGTTCATTCCGCTGTGGAGACCTCTGAAATAGAGACTAAACCGAAGAAAAAAGATTGAATGGATGTAATTAAACTAGCTAAAAATGAACAGTAATCGCTTAACTTTTTTACTGTAACTAGTTATCTTGTGACTAATTACAACCAACACTGGTCCTAATAGTTTTGCCATTTATCTGTGTCTTTTATCAGGAGCCACCTGCTTTGTATTCTCCAGTAGCACCTGAGAAGAGGCAGCCGATCAGAGTTCTGTCTTTATTTGATGGCATTGCTACAGGTAAGACCGCTATTGTTTAATATGAGTACATTAATAGAGATGGATGAAAAATAAAACGTTTGACTTTTTTTTTTCCAAAATAAACACGTATTCTAATTTTGGTTTGCAACATATTTAAGAAAAAATTAAAACAGTAAAGCTTTTACCACTTTGTAATGTTGCCATTTCTTTTCACAACACTTAAAAGACATTTAGCAATTGAAGACAAGTGATGAAGTGTTTAAAGGGCCATGACACCCCCCACTTTCGGTTAAAGTCTACTTCAGAATTTTTCAAAAGATGCATGATTAATGGGCGTGGAGCAGTGGCGTAGCGCAAAACGCGGAGGCCCCCCTGCAGGGATAGCTGACGGGGCCCCCTTAGGGGGGGGGGGGGGGGGGGGGGGGGCGTTATACGTCAATTTGCACATCACTGACGTCATCACGTTCTACCGTTTCTGTTTAACAGCCTATGATTAATAAAGGGGTATTTATAATTGCACTACACTTTATATAAGCATGTTTATTTAACTAATTTTATTGCTGTTTGAATACAGTATGTCATTATAGATGTGTAGTGTATGTGCAGTAATCTCTCATATGTAATAAACTCAGACAAGTTCAGAAACTGTCACTAAAATATCTGTGATTATGAACAAGAAAAGAATAAACGGTCCAAATAAATTGTTAAAATAAAGTAGAAGTAGATCGGTTTGACTGTACAAGGGAAATGCCTTAACACTGCCTGTGCTAAATCATTTGTCGTCGGTACGCAGAGGGGTGATCTGCTCTCGGGCTGCAGGTGGGAGAGGCTGCTGTACGAGGACTGACTGGGCCGCCTGTCAGTGCTGTGAGGCGGGGGAGGGGCCGGCGGCATCACACGCAGCTCGTTGAGAAGAGTAGGGACGGTACAGTTATGGACAAATGACAGTCTAAAAAAAATCTCCAATAACACACAAAAAAGTCGCTAGATTTGTCGCTAGGGGGGTCTGAAAAGTCGCTAAATCTAGTGACAAAGTCGCTAAGTTGGCAACATTGGCGGCAAGCAATCAGAATGAAGTAGTCCACCGCTTGAGAGGTGTTCAGAGAACACAGATGTGTGAACTTTGGTTCCGACCACAGTTGTTCCCAACAGTTTATTGAAAATCGCGACGACGCGGGGCCCCCTAATCACGCGGGGCCCCCCCGCGGTGCGTGCCCTGCGGGCCCGTCCGCTACGCCACTGGCGTGGAGCTCCACGAGCTTAGGGCAGGAGTGGGCGTGGCCAGCAGGGGAGAAGGGGTGCGAACAACTGTTGATGTCAGTTAGCTCACAAATTGAGACAAACCGTGAGGAGACGCATGAGTTTATAGTTTACAAAGTGAAAATGCAAAGAAATAAACAGTAATTTAATGCCCTGCTACATTTGTTATTCGTAATTTCATATATACATAGCCACAATTTATATCATTATAAAGATAAGTTTGTTCATGTAAACCCTATAAATGAGGACTTCTCCTGACCTGTCTACTTTAACCATTAGCCCTGCTGGTAATCTGGAGGATTTAGGCAAACACAGCAGCTCGGCGATGTGTCTGGATGTGAATGAACTCCTGATACAAGACCACTTCCGCCATTCTCCAATTCTCGTGCTGCTCTTCCGACAAAAATGCTAGCAGCACACACACAGCTTTCCTGTATGATCGGCCCTGACAGGATCGCGGGGAAAAACATGCAACAAACCCCGTGGATCATGGAAACAAACACATACGAGCCTTCACAAACGGTCACTGCATACCCGTGGGTCCTTGTCTCACAGCTTGAGCTTGGCACTGGTCTGGCAGGTCTGCGTCTGCCTTGCCTTCGGAAAGCGCGTGCTGTCGTGCTCTCATGAATAATTAAGCAGCCGGCTCTTCTCATCTTCTCAATAATAATGAGAAACCGACGCGTCATCATTGCACTTGCGGTACTTCGCTACGTCGCCGATTTTGATCCCTCCCCAAAAATCATTTTAAACCCGGAAGCTGAAATTAGCTGACAAAAGCTCAAAATTATCCAGTTTTCCCCACAATTAAAGCTGATGGGTGCTAACATTGTCTTAACTGATGCTCAACACACACAAATCTGTTAATATATATAAAAAAAAAAAAAAGTTCTCCAGGGTGTCCTGAACCTTTAAGGTGTAATTTTTTTCACATTTTTCTGCTAACAAGTCTTAAGGTGGGCACTAGTATGAGGTCTTTGTTGTTGCATTTTGCCCTTCAAATTTTCTATTGTAGACAGGTCGGGACTGCAGGCAGGCAAGTCAAGTACCTGTATTCCTCTTCCTCCGCAGCCAGCACTTTGTAATGTTTGCAGAATGTGGTTTTGCATTGTCTTGTAGAAATATGCATGCGTGTCCTGGGAAAAGAAGGCAGCATATTGTGCTCCAAAATCTCTATATACTTTTCAGCATTAATGGTGCCATCAAGCAAGTGCAAGTCACCTTTGCTAAGGGCACTTGACCACGTCAGACCCTGGCTTTTGGACTTGCTGGTAACAGTCTGGGTGATCCTTTTCTTCTTTGGTCTAGAACGCTAGGTGTCCATTTCTCCAATAAAATACCTAAAATACTGATTCATCTGACCCAGAGAAGTCTTCTGGACACTGTTAACATAGGGCTTCCTTTTGCCACAGTATAGTTTTCAATGGCATTTATAGATGTAGCTGTGTATTGTGGTACTTGACAAAGGTTAGAAAACGTAGTCCTGTGCCCATGTGTCAAGAAAATTAAGAAATCACTATTTTTTTATGTGTGTTTTTTCATACTGCCCCAACTTTTTCTGATTTGGGGTTGTAACATCTAAAATTATAAATATACAGTTGAAGTCAGAATTATTAGCCCCCTTGAATTTTTTGTCTTTTTTAAATATTTCCCAAATGATGTTTAACAGAGCAATGAAATTTTCACAGTATGTCTGATAATATTTTTTCTTCTGGAGAAAGTCTTATTTGTTTTATTTCGGCTAGAATAAAAACAGTTTTTAATTTTTTAAACACCATTTAAGGACAAAATTATTAGCCCCTTTAAGCTATATTTTTTCTCCATAATCTATAGAACAAACCATCTTTATATAATGACTTGCCTAATTACCCTAACCTGCCTAGTTAACCTAATCAACCTAGTTAAGCCTTTAAATGTCACTGTAAGCTGTATAGAAGTGTCTTGAAAAATATCAAGTAAAATATTATTCACTGTCATCATGACAAAGAGAAATAAAATCAGTTTCTAGAAATTAGTTATTAAAACTATTGTGTTTAGAAATGTGTTGAAAAAATCTTCCCTCCGTCTAATATATCTGTTAATATATCTGTGTGTTCAGGCCTGCTGGTGCTGAAGGATCTGGGCATTCAGGTGGATCGTTATGTGGCGTCGGAGGTGTGTGAGGACTCCATCACTGTTGGTATGGTGCGACACTTTGAACGGATCACGTATGTTGGAGACATCAGGAACATCACACGCAAACATGTGAGCAAAATTCCCTTTCAGTCTCACAGGCCCGTTTACACCTGCTATGGAGTTTGATCCATCAGATCACAATAGAAAAAGGCCACAGCCATATCACCCTGCAGCCCAAGACTGGTTACTCACTTAAGCTAAGCAGGGCTGAGCCTGGTCAGTACCTGGATGGGAGACCACATGGGAAAACTAGGTTGATGTAGGAAGTGGTGGAAGTGGCGGCCAGCAGGGGGCGCTCAACCTGCTGTCTGTGTGAGTCCTAATGCCCCAGTATAGTGAATTGGACGCTATACTGTCAGTGAGCGCTGTCTTTCGGATGAAACCGAGGTCCTGACTCTCTGTGGTCATTAAAAAAAATCCTATTGCACTTTTTGTAAAGAGTAGGGGTGTAACCCCGGTGTCCTGGCCAATTTCCCTCCATCGGTCCTTTACCCATCATGGCCTCCCAATCATCCCCATTCACCAAATTGGCTCTATCACTGTCTCTCCACTCAAACTGTGTGGTGAGCGCACTGGCGCCGTTGTCCTGTGGCTGCCGTCGCATCATCCAAGTAGATGCTGCACACGGGTGGTGGTGTCGAGAGACGCCCCTTATGATTGTGAATGCTTTGGGTGTACGGCCATACCCAATAAATGCACTATATAAATACGCATTACATTATAAAGGAGGTCATCAGTTTTCAGGATTAAAAGATCCGGGATCTGCCTAATCATCTTAGATCAATTAAAGAGGACCTATCATGCAAAAATCACTTGTATAAGGGGTTTAATAACGGTTTGACATAAGGTTGTGAATATAGCCAGGCTCTAATGGAAACAATTAATTAATGAAATATTTTATAACCCCATTTATCACACTTCTTGTTTGTCTCTGCAGATTCAGGAGTGGGGGCCGTTTGATCTTGTGATTGGTGGAAGTCCCTGTAATGATCTGTCCATCGTCAACCCTGCTAGGAAAGGCTTGTTTGGTATGACACACGCCATTAGATCCATTTTCCTCACTAAAATCATAAGATTTGTTTGTGCGTTTGTCTATAAACTTGTGTTAAATAAGTGTTTATGCGCAGAGGGAACCGGGCGCCTGTTCTTTGAGTTTTACCGGCTGCTTCACGAAGCGCGGCCTAAAGAAGGAGACGACCGCCCGTTTTTCTGGCTGTTCGAGAACGTGGTTGCAATGGGGGTCAGTGACAAGAAAGACATCTCACGCTTTCTGGAGGTGTGTAAATACACTACAACAACAAGCATATAAACTAAGGTTATAATAGTTTAGCATTTTTCATTGGTTTAGTTTTTATTTAGTTTAGATTTTTGTTTTTAATTTCAGTTACTTTTAGTTGGGTAGATCTGCTAGTTTTATTCGTTTTTAAATTTTGAAATTGCTTAGTTTTTGTTTAATTTGTAGTAGTTTTACTATTAGTTTTTTTTTTCCAAATAAGGATACTTGTTAGGTGCGAGATTCAAAATTGTCAGAATAAATATTTTATAATAAAATTTCAACCAAAGATACATTTTTTGAAACGTGTATCCAGAGCCTATTCATCAAAACCTGCAAATGTTTCTTGGACCTCAAAAATATAGGTTATACCATATGTCAAACAGTTCATATATAACTCTGTTGCATGTATATATGTTGCATGTATATATGACTTATTTGTATATCTTTTTTTAACTTGTATTTTAAATCTATGATTTGGATTTACATATTTAAATTACAAATTAGATCTGCTTACTGCATGTTAGAGTAGGCTATGTGTGTCAGAGAAGCAAGTGATTAAACTATACCTGTCAACATTGGGAGATAAAATATATGAGATATGGCCCCAACAACCATGTCAAGAATGGGGAGGAAAATAACCTCAAATGATAGGATGCATAACAAATAATAAAAACATGAAAATAAAATTAAAAAGTTTAGCCTATTAAAATCAATTTCCTGATCACATCATAGCAGGGCCGGAGTGGGACTCCTTTTCAGCCCTAGAGTTTCAAACCTCAGACCGGCCCACCTCAGTTCACGACTGACTATATTAAAATAAGGTCATTTCCAATTCAGTTTCTTATTACACTATCACGTCTTTTTTTGAGAAAACTGCTGCTTTATGCTGTGTTCACACCAGACGCGGAACGTGCAGATAAATCACGCTATTTGCGCGTAAATAGCCGCGTGAACATTTGAGTTTACTCGCTTCATTCGCGCGTCAAACCCCGCTTCATTCGCGTGTCAAATACACTTCAGAACAGACACGGATTCGCGTGATGGGCAGGGCTTCTGTCTGCCCGAAGACTCTAGCTTCATAGCTAAATGGCTAACATGGATTTTATAAAGAAAATAACAGTGTTTATGTGCTTTATGAAGACTGAAAAACAGCGTCGATACGTTTAGGGTCGTGTCTGAGTCCATTACATTCTTTCAGAGGTGCATCCAGCTCTGTGAGCTCATAAACTCCTCCAGAAACTGAACCTGGATGACGGAGGCTTCACCGGTGCTTCTGACTGAGCCAAGCAGAGTTTGATGAACTGTTGTCAGTGAAGGCTGGAGGATTTCCCTCGGAACACCAACAACAGGTTCTACGTCACAATCACGCCCCCACAAGAGCAAGCTTCTGATTGGTTAACGCGGCGCGAATGTACGCTGAAGTTCAGATTTTCGAATTCGAGAGATTCGCGCAAAACGCTCATTAAGCGCGTCAAACGCACAAAACGCTTAATTCGCGCCGTGCCATTCGGGCGTATCGCGTTGCAGGATGTCTATTCGCACGTTTGCATTGACTTAACATGTAAATCACTCGCGCTTGACGCGCGTGCCGCGTCTGGTGTGAACGCAGCATTAGAACTTCAAATGTTCAACAACCCTAACAGTATTATATGTCTTAACAATAAAAATGAAATAAATAAATTACTCAGACGAGGATCAAACCCGGGTCGGCAGCGTCATAACCTAATTTAAAAGAAGACTGTGGTCAAGTAAATAAATAAATTAATTTAAAAACAGTGACTGCTAAGAGCAACAGATTCTGGAGCTAGGGACACCGGCCCTCGTGGCCAAAAAACGGACCGGCCCACCGAGAATTCTCCCAGTCCTCCCGATTAGCCAATCCAGGCCTGCATCATAGTTATTGTTTGCAAAAAAATGGTTAAAAGTGTGTTCATTGTTTTACTTGAATTATTCAGCGATTCCTCCGCGTACCACTAAAAGGAAGTCTGGGTACCACTTGTGGTTCATGTACCACAGTTTGAGAACCACTGACTTAGAAGATGTGGATAAAACGAATTATTCGTTCGCACTCACTAAAACAGAAATAAAACCCATTATTGGGCACAAATGTGTTAGATCAATCATTTTAAGTCTCTGTATTTAATGCTGTCACCATGCTGCTGTCATGTTCACTCGTTGTTGTTGTCGTGGGAGCAACAGCAAGGATCGAATGGAAGAGAACTGGCTTGATCTGGCCAATGGCATCACAGACTCTGAGGTGCCGTACGGATCAAACACCTGGCAGCATGAAGTAAATAAATTTACTTCTAATGGCTCGTTTCCACTGACTGGTACAGTACGGTACGGTTCGGGGTGGTACAGGTCACCTTTATCAGGCTTGCGTTTCCACTAGCAAGGGTACCCTTTTGGTGGGCGTGGTGTATGACAAAGTTTCAGTCGACGTCATGCTCACTTGAGAAAATGTCTACAATAAAGCTGCACAAGTCACTCACATACCATATGAAAAGCACTTCTCACAAAACAGATGCTTTACACACACAAATACTTATGTATAAATGTTTATTACTAACTTTTCTATGAACAGGAGTTGATTATAACTGCAGATCAATGACAGTGCAAAATAGCCTACTGTAACGTCTGTAATTATATTAAATAAATAAATAAATGAACATATGAACACATACAGACCCTTACAGTCTCCCATATGCTACCAACTACAGAAGAACTACACTAAACAGACATTTCGTCCTTAATTAGGTTCAAAACAACACAAAGTATAGCCTACAGTCCGTGAAAACCTCTCATCTGTGTCTGTAATCTTCAGCAGCACATGAAGCCTCTGTTAGAGAGTCATTCCATCATTCCCAGTTCATATAAGTCCAAAAGGTGATAATTAAATTGAAAACAAAGCAGTTTGTTCACGTTTGCTGAAGAAATAACGTGCTCATTGGCTTCCCCTTTTTTTCAGCGATCCACTTTCGCGTTTGTCCTTTTCTTTCTGAATGTGTCACTCTCGTGTTTGTCAGCTTCTCACTGGATCGGGTTTCCAAAGCACGTCAATAATCAAGCACATGTTATTATCATCAGCTCAAGAAGTTTGTTATTTCAGATAGAAATGCGCGGCGAGCGCAAGGAAGAAAGCGAAACCACTCTGGCTTCAGACTGGCTCGTAAAAAACTACGAGGCACAGGGTGAATCTGCTCTTCTCCATGGCTTTGTGGCTGTTTATCATGACGACGACATGGTTTGTTTGAGCCCGGATCGACCATGGCTGCATATGTATATATAATTCCGCTGTAATCTCTCGCTGTGTATTTCAAACATGGCGGGTCCTTTGTTTACAATCTGGCTTGTTGTGCAAGCGAATGAAGTATCTCTGTAAACCAATAGCGTTCAGCTGCGCATCTAGCTCCACCTTTTGGTAACCTTTCTCGTGTTTGGGACCCTTTCGAAAGGGTGCCGAAAAAGTGGTACGGTTTGGTTCAGTACGCCTTTTGACAGTGGAAACGGCCATAAAAGCGTACCAAACCGAACCGAACTGTACCACTCAGTGGAAACGGGCCATATAAGGCTTACAGTAGACTTATGTATTAAATACATTTACAAAGATGAAAACGAAGGAGGTTTTTGCTATAATTCTAGTTAGTTTCAATTAGTTTTGTGAGTACATGATACAGTTTCAGTTAGTTCTAGTTTTTATTTTTATTTCCATTTAAAATTGTAGTTTTTGTTTTTCCGTCTGTTTTCCTCAGCTATAATAACGTTGATTCAAACTGAAGTCATTTAATGAACCTTGAATTTCTTCTGAAATATCTCATTTATTGTTTACTCGTTTGTGTCCAGTGTAATCCAGTCATGATCGATGCTAAGGAGGTGTCAGCCGCACACAGAGCTCGATACTTCTGGGGGAACCTTCCTGGGATGAATCGGTAAGACTGCTTGTGTCTGAGAGTGGCTGCTATTTTACTAGCGTTCGAAACACATGTGCAATAGACATCAAAATGATCAACAGATTAGAAAAACTAATGAATAAAACAGTTTCTTCTCAATTGCTTTTCATTTGATGTGCTTGATCTCAACCACCCTCAATGGCAGAGCTGTGATTAAAAATGAAACGCTATTGGCTGTTTTTAATAGGCAGGAGCTACTCTATGCCCCGCCCTCAGTTCATTTTTCTGTTGAGATTACATCAAACATCAAATAAAAAGCGCACATTTTAAAGCACTTCGCGGGACCTTTTAAATAGAGCCCTTTGTGTTTCTCTTTTCAGGCCACTGACTGCTATGGTGAATGACAAACTCGATCTGCAAGACTGTCTGGAACATGGACGCACAGCTAAGGTGTGTGTTTGTGTTTGTATGTGTGTTCATTATTAAAGGTGCAGTATGTAAGTTTAACACCCAATGGTAGAACTAGGTATTGCACTCCTGGATCAAAACACATTGAACACATTGAACTGTGACTCAGTGCAAACCAACACATATCAGTGATTCAGCATGTACATTTAATAATGTTAAAGAGCTTTAATATGTATTAATTAGGTTATAACCCTTACCATTTCACAAGTCAGTGCATATTCTGTACTTCTGAATAGATGTATTTCAAGAATTCACACTTAGCTCATGATTTATGCATAGCTTGTTTGGCATGTTGTTTCAAGGGAGAGCCCTGAGCTTAAGGGATCTTTGGGCCCAGGGCTCCCTCGCTTTCGAGGGGAGATTGAGCTCAGGTCGATCTCAAATTTACTGTCCTGCTCCAATAGACTCTGCATTACAAACGCAAGCGCTAATTTGTCTTTTGTAATTTGATGCAAAGATGATATACATACACAAACATTTGCACATGTTTTTTTATTAAAATAATCAAAACTTTCAAGGATTAAATATTTTGATGACAGTTAAACCCGTCATAACAGTCTTGTGAAAAAGGTCCTTTGATCTGTGCTGTATTTGTGCTAGGGCACCAGAGACTTGTATTACATCTTGTATCGTCAGTGACTTTTCAGACAGATGATAAGGTTTTTTGTGTGCTTTTTTTTTGTTTTTTGACCATAATCAGAAGACTTGCTGCTTCACAGTAGGTTTTGTTTTTTTGTACTGGGTTTGTTTTTCAGTTCAATAAAGTGCGAACCATCACAACTCGCTCAAACTCCATAAAACAAGGCAAAGACCAGCACTACCCTGTGTACATGAACAATAAAGAGGATATCCTGTGGTGCACAGAGATGGAGAGGTGAGGCTCTATTTATCCCAAAATCTAAAGAAAAACTAGAGGAAGGTTGTTTCTTTTGGGGGATATTTTATATACTTATGCATATTTAAATTTTAAATTGCCACTACTTAATAAAATTACTTAAACTGTAAAATAGAAATTTTTTTAGTATTGTTCGGTGTTATTTTTACGTGTTGAGGTTAATAATTAAATGTGTGAATATAGACATTGTTGAGAATAATGGGAAATGTTCAATTGTATTGTATATTTTAATAACTGTAGAAGTTTTGGTAATTTGACTAATTTAATATTTTTGTAATGAAAACAGAACAAAACATTGATGATGATAGTCATATTAATGAGTATGCTGCATATTTTATGTTTTTATAATGATGATTATACGTTGTATATTTTGGTGCGTTTGAACAAAACGGATATATTTATTCAAATAATATTTTAGTCACTGAACATCTTTAAATATAGAAAGCTAATACATTTAAATTCATGCTAAATATTGCAAAAAAAATACAAATTACAAAATTTTGTATATTATGTTTCTCTTGATCTTTACTCTTAAGTTTTTTATTTATGTAATATTTTCCCCTAACATATACATTTGAGCTACTCATTTTTGCACTGTTATCATAAGTTATTTTGTTAGATTAGCTCCAGATGTGTCTTCAGTTCCGACTAATCTAATGTACAGGTATATGCAATATAATATTGTATAGTTTCCTATAGAAAATATTAACTTAAATGAGAGATTCATACAGAGGATGTATGAATCCAATATATAAATGTTAAGAACCCGTTCCTTAAAAACATGTCACTTTAGAGCTAGTATCTGAATGATTCTCTAGCGTAATGTCTAAAGTGATGACAAAACAGGTGATTTTGCTGACATTTTAAGATTTTAAGACTGAACAGCATGAAATACCATCAGTCTACAGATTTCCCAGTATTTCTGTTGCAATCAGATCACAATAATTTAACCCGAAAAAGCCAAAGCAAAGCAAACACTAGCAGATTACTGTGGTATAAATACAGCACTGCAACATACAAAAGAGAAAGATCGACTTAGATTGTCACTTACCTGTTTTATAATAATTTGATCAGCTGTAGTTTGAAATACAAATACGTCTTTTCTTCTCTGAGGATTTATTATGCGGTCTCTGTCGTCATCTTGTGGAGCAACCATCTTTGTATGTCAGACTGATGGCCGCTGATGGTTGAAGCTCTGAAATTATAAGTATTTTATAATAGGCTCTATCCTTATAAATAAACTGCAGTTTCAATCTAAACAACTACATTCTCACCTAAAAAGCCTTAAAAGTACATTATGTTGTCCAACAGCTGCAATATTCGTCAAACTGTAGTGAGTCTATTGATCTGCTGTCACTCTATGTGGGCGGAGTAATACACATGGGGAAAGAAGCTGTACGAGTGCTTTTATTGCAGAATATCGCACAGCCATCAGCCAATCAGATTCGAGAACCAGACCGAACTATGGTATATATATATATATAAACTCTCTATAAGCTTTTATTTATATCATCTAAATAACACCGTGCAAAAAATGTCTAATTATATTAATGTTTTTTCTCTTTTTAACTTTTGACTTCATTAGACTCACCACTTTGTATTTGCATGTGTTTAAAAACCCCTTCTTCATGCGTCTTTCAGAGTTTTCGGCTTTCCCGTCCATTACACTGACGTGTCCAACATGAGTCGTCTGGCCAGACAGAGGCTGCTGGGTAGATCATGGAGCGTCCCCGTCATTCGCCACCTCTTTGCTCCACTGAAGGAATACTTTGCCTGTTAATGAAGCCCCGCCCGCCAGTGCACGATGACATCATCAACTCCAACCTTCCTGTGTTCTTCATTGTTGCTTGTGGCCTCTGAACAGCTGGTGCTATCTTAATATGACCATTCAACCACAGGACACTTCACATATTTATTTGAAAGCATACTTGTGTTGCTTTATCATCTGCTAAATAGTTTTTCAAATATTTCCCAAATGATGTTAAACAGAGCAAGAAATTTTTCACAGTATTTCCTATAATATTTTTTCTTCTGGAGAAAGTCTTATTTGTTTTATTTCGGCTAGAATAAAAGCAGCTTTACAATTTTTTAAAAGCTATTTTAAGGTCAAAATTATTAGCCCCTTTAAGCAATAATAATTTTTGATTGTCTACAGAACAAACCATCGTTATACAATGTATAATTACCATAACTTGCCTAATTAACCTAGTTAAGCCTTTAAATGTCACTTTAAACTGAATACTAGTATTTAGAAAAATATCCAGTCAAATATTATATATCTGTCATCATGACAATGATAAAAGAAATCAGTTATTATAAATAAGTTGTTAAATTATTATGTTTAAAGGTGTGCTTAAAAATATTTTCTCTGTTAAGCAGCTCTTGGGAGAAAAAATTGGCTTTAATTTTTATTTATTACTCCCGACATAATGTCATGTGATTAATTAAGCATAAGTTCCCATTATTTCTACAATTACTTTAAGAAAAATCAAGTAAAATTGGATTTATTAGGTGAAAGTGTCAGATTAACATGCTGTTGTACACTAGCCTGCTTAGAAAATGTATCTGTAACATCTTCACATCATTTCCACACACACGTTTCCTGTGAGAGAGAAAAGGTGCTCGAAAAACCAACAATACACTGTTTACAGTTGATATACACTCGTCAGAGGGTACAGCTACAGTATACAACAATAACTGTTCACACACAACTCTACTATGGTGCTCTTTTCTCTCCTTGTCTTTCAGTCTCTCAGCAATACAAATTCTCAAATTTTCGTATGATGCCTTTCTGATGGAGCCTATAGAGGGCACATACAGTGAGAAACACACACACACACACTCTGGCTGAGAGATGTGTTACACACTCATGCACCTCGACTGGACAGTTCACCCAAAAATGTACATTCTGAATAACGTAATGTCTTCTGTGCAACACAAAACAAGATCTCTCCAAGAATGTTAAATCCGAACCATTGACTTCCATAGTATTAGTCTAATTACTATGGAAGTGAGTGGGTGTGGGTACGATTACATGGACATTGGAAATGTAATTATTTATCAATCCAATCAAAATTAGCATACTGATTAATTTTGTATTCTTTGCAATACAAAAAGAGATAACTTGAAGAATGTTAGACCCCAACCATTTTGGCTCCCATTGACTTCCATAGTATTTTTTGATCTCCCTACTATGGAAGTGAGTGGGTGTGGGTACGTTTCAAACATGGACATCAGCAGTTTAATTATTTATTAATCTGATCAAAATTACATTCTGATTAACTCCATGTCTTCTGTGCAATACAAAAAGAGATATCTTGAAAAATGTTGGAGCCGAACCAATTAGGCTGCCATTGACTTCCATAGTATTTTTGGTCTCTTTACTATTGAAGTCAGTGGGCGTGGGTACGTTTACATGGACATCAGTAATTATATTAGTTATCTTGTTCTGAAAAGACGATATTAAAGGGATAGTTCACCCTAAAATGAAGTGTTGTTATTTACTTATCCTTCATTTGTACCAGGCTTTTATGAGTTTCTATATTCTGTTGAATGCTGAAAACCAGCAGTCATTCACAATTTTCCTACTATAGATATCAATGGTTACTGGTTTTCACATTTTTCAAAGTATCTTCTTTTGTTTTCAACAGGAAAAAAGCTCATAAAGCTCATAAACCCACTTTAGGGTGAGTAAATGTTATTTTGGGGGGAGAACTATCACTTTAAGATGCATGTTTTGGGTATGCTTTATTAATTTTCTGTTCCCATTTTGTTTACAGTATAGTACACAAGTCAGGTATTCAACCTAATGTGAAGAGATTCTCCTCATAGTTTGGGCAAAGAAAATATTAAAATCCTAAGCACAAAATATGTATGTTTCTATCAAGATGTTAGAGCAGCTAACTGCTGTATTGGTAACCTAGCAACCAACAGTAAACAAGACAAACATAATGGAGTCATGTGGTCAGGGGCGCTGCCAGGGGGAGGGGGGCTGGAGTTGGGACTATTCTAGGGGCCCACACTATTTTGGGGCCCCCAGGGATACTATTAGGGACCCCAAACGTCCACGACAACACTCCTTACCCCTTACCCCTCGACACCCAACTACTATCGTCCGCAACATCAGACCACAAATCACCCCCCAACCTCCTGTCTTTTTTGTCCACGACAACACAACATCTCTGACCCCCCACCCCCAGCTGTTCACTTTCCTCTACGACAACCCCCCCTCCCCCCTGCTCTTCACTTTTTCCCGTGACAACACCCCCCCCCCCCCCAACTTTCGTCTGCAACAACATCCCCCCCCCTCCCTCACGCTCTTCAATTTCATCTACGACAACCTCCCTTGCTCTGTTCACTTTTGTCCGTGACGAGGCCCCCCCCCCTTTCATCTTTGACAACATCCACCCCTCCCCGTTCTATTCAATTTTGTCTGCAGCCACTTCCTCCTGCACTGCTTACTTTCATCCACGACAACAATCTCCCTCTCTTTACTTTTATACGCCACAACATTCCCCCTCCCCCTGCGCTCTTCAATTTTGTCTGCAACAACCCCTCCCCCTCCCCCCTCTGTTTAATGTCTTCTGCAGCAACATCCCCCTCTCTTTACTTTCATCCACGACAACATCCCAACGCGGTTTAGTCCATGAGACCCACAAAATGTTTTCATAGGGCATAGTTTAATCTGCAAATGGGTTAACCCTTTAGCTCTATTTTGGGAATTGGTCGATTTTTATGTTCGAAATTTGTTTTTTATGTGTCACCATCCAATGTGTACTATGGAATTTTTTATATAAACATACAATTTGTGTTCGTTATTGTACTAAATACAGTTTATTTTTACTATTGCGAAAGCTTCAAGTGCAGATATTTATTTGCCGTGCTATACGTGCAAACAGAAGACACCATTCTTGTTCAAAGCCGTTAAACACCGCTGTATGTGAATCATGTTGCTAAATTACCTAATCGACGGCAATAGTGTAAATAAAGTCACTTTGTTGATGTACTTCCAACTGAAACGGAATATTGAGTAGGGGGCGGGGCATTATTTTTGTGAATATTCCTTCATAGCAAACTAACAGTAAGCGGTGCGTGGTTAAGAAGGGGAGGGGCGTTGTGTCAGAAGCCATCAAACTGATATCAGAGAAGTACCGCCACTCCAAAATCAGAAGCGAATGTTCAAACTTTGATTGAAGATTACCAAAACAACCTTTTTGAGTGGATTAGTTGCACTGATTAATTGTTCAACTAAAGTATAGCCAGGGGCGTAGAAGGGGAAAAGTATCACTGAGTTCATAGGGCCCTGGCAATTTAGGGGCCCATTGACTGGTTACAAGGGGGCCCAGGGATAACCTCACCACCCCCTGCCCCCGACTCCCACCACTGTTCATTTACGAGATTGCTAACATGGGCCACACTATAATTGCTGGCGACGCCCCTGAGTTTAGCATTGTGTGCTAACAAAGGAAACATTGTAAATGTCGATTTTACGCAAACTTAAATGTGAATATACTGCATTAAAATAGGAATACTCCACACATCTTAATTCAGATCAAGCAGATTTAAGGTTATCAGAAATCTCAGTTTGCATGATACATTTTAATCATGCTAATATCAGAAAACTGTTGTCCATTTAAACGCACTGACTGGTAACAGACGGGACATTTTTGGCTGAACTGGTCTTTTATGAGAGATGTTGATTTACTTTATGGTTTGTTGTCGTCTGATGCAATATATCTGCCAGCAGAAACACACACAGACCTTCCGCATGCTGAAACAGCTGGAATCACTGGCATCCGATTCTGCTGTTTTTACTCGACACCACTATATTTTGTGTTTGTGTGTGTGTTTCAGTCAGGTATCAGGTGTTTTTACTGACGGTGAAGGGAGCTTAATGGTGCCGCAGATTCTCCATGGTGCAGCTTCATGGTGCTTCGGAATTTCTCTCTCTGGTTAGGACTTTCTTTTTGCTTCAGGTTCAGCTAAGCTATGTTCACACCACAACTCCATCTGATGGCCAAGTAAAAGTCACACTTTCCCTTCAGGGAACATCGACGCTGCGTCAAATATTGATGCTATGGGTACACTTTAAAGTTGAGGAAGTCTTGAAGCACGCGTAAAAACTGTCAGAACGTTGTCACCAGGACGCATCAATCTGAGAGATGATCTGAGAAAACTATATCGAGCATCAGATCTTGCTCTCTGTGCTACTAAGGAAATAGCTAGATCTCTTGGCTGCTCTATGGCGGCTATGGTAATTACGATGAGACCTAGGATAGGAAAATCTTCCTTTAATGTCAAGCTCCTATGGGAGGTTCCTTTCCCCCGCAATCGAAGGCCTGTGAGACTGCAAGGTGGGAGCAGTTACAGCTGTCTACCAGCTCCTCGAACCAGTATAGAGCAGTGCACAAGGAGAGTCAGGACTATGAGGGCAGTCCCCTCTGGCGTTAGGCAGTGTCAACTACAGTATGTAGCACTTGCCCCTCCCCAGTAACCTCCTTATCCTGATCCTTATCTAACTTATCCTGCCACCTTCTGTGCTTGAGGGTGCAGCTGCTTTGGCAATCCCCTTCCAAGTGTTGTAGGACCGCTGGAGGTCTTACGCCGTCTCGGTCTGTTAATTCGGCAGTTTCCTGCTCTAATATCCAGAGGCTAGTCTTGCAAGTGTCTGCAGAATGTCTCACAGTGGGCCCGGCTCAAAACTGAGAAGTGATACAGAATTCAGTTCAAATCTTGTCCACCTCAAAAGAGTGGAAGACCTACAGGCCCCATCTGTGGACC